CGGAGGAGCGAGTGCGGCCCGGGCCGGCTCGGGTGGCCCCGCGGGCCGAGTGAGGACGTGGCACGGGCCACCTGCGCCCCCGGGGACCCCCGCGCTGCCCGGCTCACCTGGGGCGCCGCTCCTGGGTGGGCAGGCGGGCGTCGTCCGTGGTGCTGCTGCTATCGCTGCCTCCGCCGCCGCCGCCGCCGCCGGGCTCCGCGCTGCATCCCTGGCAATGCGGCGGCGCTGCGCATGCCCGCTCCGCCTCCCGCGCCCGTGACGTCGCGGCCGGGACCGCGGCTCCGCTCCTCGCGCGCGGGGCACCGCGCAGGCCCCGCGGGACGAGACGGGGCGGCGGCAGGAGGGCAGCGGGGGGCGCAGCCCGGGCCAGGAATCGCCGGCCACCCGCCCCCCCGCCCGCCCAACGGGGCCAGGCGCGCTCCTGCCCTGCCGGGCGCGCGCCGTGGCCTGGGAAAGCTAGAAGTGGCCGCCAGAGCGGGAGAGGATTCCGTTTGGGGTACCGGGGGGGCCGCTGGGAGGAGGGCACCCACCGCACCCCGGCCGTCGCGCGTCCCATCCATCAGGATGTCAGAAGTGCCTCGGATGAGGCCCCTCCAGCGCAGCCTCCTGCTGTCCAAGGGGCCAAATATCCCCAGGCATCTGGATAGACTGGCCCTGGAGCTGGTGGTTCCACCAGAAGCTAAGAAGCGCCTGCCGGGTCAGACCAAGGGCCCCCCTAGTCTGGCATCCTCACCTCGCAGGGGGCAACCAGCAAGCAGGATTGGGGCACAAGGGAACGAGAAGCGAAGAAAAGCCGCCTGGATGAGGCCAGAAGGGGCCCACCAAGTCCAGCACCCTCACCATGGTCAGCCAAGTGCTCTTAAGGGATCTGAGCACAAAGGAGCATAGACTCTAGCTGAAAGGGACCCCAAAGGTCATCCAGTCCAACCCCCCTGCAATGCAGGGATCCAGCTGCAGGACTGGCCTGATGTTCATAGATGGTGCATAAAGAACCGTGAGAGGAGGGGCCCCCTGCTGGAAAGGACCAAGCAGGGCCATTTGCTTGCAATAATGATAATGATAATGATATTCCCCAGCCACTCTGGGCAGCTCCCAACAGAATACTAAAAACACGATAAAACACCAAACATTAAAAACTTCCCTAAACAGGGCTGCCTCCAGATGTCTTCTAAAAGTCAGATAGTTGTTTATTTCCTTGACATCAGATGGGAGGGTGTTCCACAGGGCGGGCACCACCACCGAGAAGGCCCTCTGCTCCCCCCCCAACCTACACAGACCCAAAGGCCTCTCAGACAGCCCCAGGAGGTGGCCTGACCCACTCCCCACAGGGCTCCCCCAGCAGCCTCTTCCTCAGACTCTGGGAGGGGTGGGGGTAACTGTGCAAGCGGGCACATGGGGGTGAGCAGCAGGAGGGGTCGGGTTCAGGAGAAAGAGCCCCAGGAAGCTCTCTCCAGCCCCAGGGCTGTGGGCAGTGGTGGCCTTGGGAGGAGAGGGGTGGCAACAGATCTCCAAGAGGTTATTTTTAACACTCCCTCACATGTGAATGTCTGTTGCATTCAGGGAATGAAAATAGCCTGGTGTGGCACGCCCTATTTATGCCCTGGCGCAGCAGAGTCCTGCATTCACGGGGGGTGGGGGGTGGGAGGAAGATAATAATAAAAACAATTATTTTATTATTATTACCCATCTGACTGGGTTGCCTCAGCCGCTCTGGACAGCTTCCAACACATATAAAAACACAACAGCTTCCCTATACCCTGCAGAGCAGACCCCCCCCCCCCCGCAACCCCCCACAAAAGCACAGGGGATGGGCTGGAAGGGGCCATCAGGGGAGGTTTCCAGGGGGCAGCCAAAATCTCTGCCTGCAGGACTGAAACAACTGAGCTGCTAGGAGGGAGAGCAAAGCGGAACTTTTGAGGGGTGGGGGGTGGGGGCCTGTGCTAACTGGTGCCCATTGGGAGGGTGGAAGGAGGGAGGGAGGCCAAGAGCAGGGGGAGCAGCCAGAGGGTGGCATTCAAATAAGTTTGACTCAGAGTAGGCCCATTGAAATGAATGAGCACAACTATGTGATGTCCCAGGGGTGAGTGAAAATCTACATCAGGAACCAGGGGGGAGTCAGTATCTACATCTAGATCTCCTGCCCCTGCCTGTGGATCCTGCTGCCTGAGGTGCCTTGGGGCAGCCAGAGAGGAACCCTTTTCTGTGGGGAGGGGCTCAAGACTCAGCAAAGAGACACTCTGCCTCTGTGTCTGAGGCCCCCCCCCATGGAGGGCAGAGCTGGACTACTGCTGCCACCTGCCAGCTTTTTCCATTGACTATGTGGCTGCCCAGCCCCCACAACCCCCGGGGTTGGCTCCTTGGCCAGCCCTGCCACCCAGAGGCAACTAATTCTAGTTTTGCCCCTATCGTCCTCTTCCCTGCTAAGTTGCACAAGGGCAACCCTGGAATTCAGGAGGAAGCTGGCGGGCCCTCTCGGGCTAGCCATAAGGAAGAGGGCAGGATGGGGCAGTGCCTAATGGAGCAGCCATCACTGATCATGGCACACAGCCTTCCGGAGCGTGATGTGCTGAGATCTGGTGTGGTTCAGGGGATGAAGAGCTGGGAGCGGATCTTGGGAATCTGGGTCCACGACACTGAAATGTGCAGACACCCCACCTAAGAAGAGCCTGCTGGATCAGGCCAATGGCCCATCATCCTCGCCTCACAGTGGGCAACCAGATTCCACAAAGAGAAGCCCACAAGCAGGATTTGGGCACAGGGGTCCTCTCCCCGCCTGCATTTTCTGGCAACCACAGAGGCTCTCTCTTCCAATGGGAAGAAGAGTGAGCCACCTCCCGTGTCGGAGATGCCAAATGCTATCAAGGCCACACGAACGACAAGCAAGAGTTTGCTCACGTGCGCGACAAGTACTGGCCGAGTCCTAAGATTCCTGTAATGGATTCTATAATCCAGGGGAGTTGTCGCCAAGGAAACGAGCAACAAAGCACCGAAACCTCACAAAATATCAACAAAACAGTAAGGAGGTGAGCAGAGCTCTGCAGCAGCAGGTGGATCAAGCCAAAGAGGCCCGTCTGGTCTGGCATCTTGATCTGGCCACGGCCAACCAGGTGCCCATCCTGGGCATCCTACAGGCGGAACAGGAGCAGAACAATAGTCCTCTGCCCTCTTGCATCAGCCGGCATTCAGAGGCAAGCAGACTCTGGGAATGGAGATGACTAGTAGCTCCTCCTGAGTAAATCACAGTGAGAAAACAGCTCCTCCTGACACAGAGAGATTATCTTTTAAACATGGGGGCTTTGCAACCTGCGGACCAGCCAAGATCCTTACCTAGTTTTTCAGTCTGCCTACCAGACAGTTGATATCAAGCAGATAACAGAAGCAGCAGGCACCAATTCTCCTCGCGTGGCATGTTGTTTGTGAAACCTTCAAGGGCCTTGAAGATGCCACCTCCTCAGAGGAAGAGCAACACAGCAAACGCAGAGGAAGAGACAGAGGCAGCTGCCGGGAAAGAGGAAAACTGACCAGGAAAGCCCCAGAGATGGGCGTCTCTCCTTGATTCAAATATAAATACCCGCACACACTAAGAATGTCCTTTAGGGTATAAGTGGCAGAAGGCAGCACCTGCTTTCCAGGTGCCACCCATCACTCCTGCCCTCCTGCTTGCAGGTAGCAGCCCCTGAGGGAGCCCTCAGTCCTGGCCTCACACGAGCCTCCAGATGCCACCTGCCTGACCCCCAGAAGCCCCTTGGGGGTGAATGAGGGGGGCGTGTTCTGCTTGGTTCGGAGGAGCAGACCAGATATAACCAAGGGAGGGCCACTGAGCCAGGGGCCAGATCCTGGCAGGTGCTATGCACGGTTCTGCAGCCAGCTTTCCTCTTCTCTTGGGTGCCTCCCCTTTGCAGTCTGCAGAGCCTCTGCTGGGGAGGTGGAGAGAGCGGCTGGCCACCAAGGGAGCCAAGCCTGGGCTGCTGAATGAAAAGGCCCAGTATCCATGCAAAGAAAAGCTCCAAGGAGGGGCCTGGCACAGATGCGGCTCGGGTCACGATCCCAGGGGAAAGGGCCAGGGCAGATCTGCTCTGCAGGCTTGGGCTGAATCCGCCGGCTGGCAAAGCACCACCTTTGGCAAGACAATTCCCCTGGCTGAGCGAGGGCCGGGCCAGTGCTCCTGTGCATTCTCCCCATTGCTGTGTGGCCACTAAGCCAGAGATCTCCATGGCCCAAGGGAGAGGCACGGCTGGTGTGCACAGACTCATCTTGGCTCCAGGCTCTGGCTTCCAGCCCTTGGCCTGGGCTCCTCCATCTATCTTTTGCCCACCTGCAAGTGGCTCCACCTGATTCCTGGAAGTGCCAAGGGAGAAGAGAAGGCCTGCCTGCGCCGGAGCTTGGCTGGAACAAACTCCCTTTGCAAAGCCCAAAGCATCATGCTCTTCTTTTCCATCATGGCGCATCAAAGAGGTGGGAGCTCCAAGTTATCCAAGGTGAAATATCTCCCTTTCCTCCTCACACTGCAACTCTTCCAGGAAGGCACACACTCTTGACCCAGGGGCTGAGATGAGGCCTTCACCTCCCGAACCCTTTCAAACAGACTGGATTCCTTTCCGCTGAAATTCCTCAACTAATTCCTCTGTTCCAAAGTGTTGCTTCTTGTCCACAAAGAATCATAAACATAGTTTAACCCCCTCATAAAACAATTTCCTAAGAGCGTCTATTCAGAATTTGAAGCCACTGTGATTATTATTCGACCGAGGTATCTTCTAACTTAATTGTTATTTAATAAATATGTTAGCTGCATCTCAAAATAAAGTATTGGTGCAAGCTGTCATATCATGTCTGATAAAATCTGCTAAAGGCATACGCAATATTGCAATAAAACACTTGTGCCATAACAAGTAGGAACAACAGAAATCACAGCAGCCATTTAAACAGCACCCCCCCACCAAATCAAAAGCAATCTGGAGAAATCAGAGATCACCCCCTTTTTTCTTTTCCTTCTTTCTTTTCCTCTTTCTCTATTTCCTCCCTTCTCCTCGCCTCTCTTTTCCCCACAACCCCACATTGCCTATAACAAAAATGTCTCAAACGGAGATGCAGAATGTGCTTTTGTTACTTATGGAAAAACTTTCATTAAAAACATATTTAAACTAGTAATAGTAATAATCAAGCCCCCTAAAGTGCAGGGCCAAAGCATGTCCCGCCACATGTGCTGGGTGGAGACATTATCTGAGACAGGTTCAGGGGTGCCCTGAAGGCTCCAGAGGACTGAACCCCCTCCAGACCTCAAGTACTGGGGAGGTGAGGGAGGGAATCCCTTTGGGAGCAGGGCGGATGGTACCTTAACAGAATCCCTGTCCTCTCTCAGGTACTCAGCACTGGGTAGAGAGACACCCAAGATCCACTGACTGCTGGACTTGCCCCTGGCCAGGCAGAAGCATCTGGAGAGGTCCCAGGCCCCTGCTCCTACTGCTTCTCAAGGCGCACAGATTTTCCAAGGAAACCCTGCACATCTCCCCCCCCCCCATCACCCTGCCAGGTTTCCATCACACAAGCCAGGCTGCTGTGTTCTTGCCCAAGGCCTTTCCATTTGCTAACCGGCTTCCAGAAGAATATTAAAATACAAGGATTCATAAAATGTTAAAAGCTTCCCTAAACAGGGCTGCCTTCAGATGTCTTCTAAAAGTCAGATAGTTTATTTCTTTGGCATCTGGTGGGAGGGCGTTCCACAGGGAGGGCACCACCACCGAGAAGGCCCTCTGCTTGGTTCCCTGTAGCTTTGCTTCTCGCAATGAGGGAACCGCCAGAAGGCCCTCGGATCTGGACCTCAGTGTCTGGGCAGAACGATGGGGGTGGAGACGCTCCTTCAGGTCTACTGGACCGAGGCTTTCAAGGTCAGCACCAACACTTTGAATTGTGCTCGGAAACGTACTAGGAGCCAATGTAGGTCTTTCAAGACCGGTGTCATATGGTCCCAGCGGCCGCTCCCAGTCACCAGTCTAGCTGCCGCATTCTGGATTAGTTGTAGTTTCTGGTTCACCTTCAAAGGTAGCCCCATGTAGAGCGCATTGCAGTAGTCCAAGCGGGAGATAACTAGAGCATGCACCACTCTGGCGAGACAGTCTGCGGGCAGGGAGGGTCTCATCCTGTATACCAGATGGAGCTGGTAAACATCTGCCCTGGATACAGAATTGACCTGCACCTCCATGGACAGCTGTGAGTCCAAAATGACTCCCAGGCTGCGCACCTGGTCCTTCAGGGGCAGTCATACCTCACCTTATTCTCCAAGGAGCTTGGGGTGGCATATATGGTTTTCTCCCCTTCCTTCTTTAATCCCCACAACAACCCTGTGAGGTAGGTTAGGCTGAGAGGCAATGTGTCTGGCCTCCAAGGGAGCTTCATGGCTGACTATGGGGTTTGAATTCTGGTCTCTTCTGGGTCCTGGCCCACCACTCCTGGAATCCTAGAATGGTAGAGTTGGAAGGGACCCCGAGGGTCCTCTAGTCCAACCCCCTGCAGTGCAGAAATCCCAACTAAAGCTTTCTCGGGCAAACAGTCACATGACCTCTGCTTAAAAGCCTCCAAGCAAGGTGAGTCCACCACCTTCCAAGGGAGTCTATTCTGCTGTGAACATCTCTTACTGCCAGAAAGTTCTCACACCACCCTCCCTCTGAAATAAAAGAATTAAGGTCTTATATATATAATAAATGTTCCTAAATGCACCAAGCAAACATGTACATAAATATATAAACCACATGTCTGAAGCAGCTCAGGAAAACAGCCCAGAAACCATTTTGACTCTCAAACTGACCAAATGTTTTCTCTTCAAGGTCAAGGAAAATGGAAAAGCCTCCCCATTGTCTTTTCCTTCACAAAGCCTGTCTTAAGGGTGTGTCTGTGTATGAATAGGGTGAGCCTGTGACCTGGCTCAGGAACTAAGTATTTATCATTACAAAAGAGTGGCCAGGCGCCCCAGGGTATCCAATCAAGTGAGCATTAACAGGTCACCTGCCAGACAGGAGGTAAACAACGCACTCAGATTTCCGGCAAACAACGCGCTCAGATTTCTGTTGTAGACCGCCCCTTCTGTGATGTATGTATGATGTTTCTGGGGGTGGTCTTGGACTCCAGGGCGGGCAATTTAAAATGTCTATATAATGGTGGGCACACCTTTGTTTGGGGTCCTCCTCCTTTCCTGCGTGTGAGGGGAGCACCCTGTTGCAACAGTTTAATAAAGATCAGGCTTACTAGCTGCTTTGCTTCTCAATATTCTCTGGCTGGCCTCTGTTATTTTCTCCTACCAATGGAGAACCTACAAAGGACCCTATAAGGGCTCTTGTGTCCCCCATAAGGGAATAAGGGCAGATTTTCGTTTATTACACCCCCTTCAAGCTAAAGGGGGCGGGTGTCTGCGAGGCAGCCTGGGAAAGGGTGAGCGGAAGGATGAAGCCCAAGAGGAAAGGAGCCTTGGAGGGTGTGGCGAGTGTCTGTTGCCGGACGATAGGGGGGCTGGGGGGCTGGTGTGCCTGGGAGGGACAGAGAGATAATGGTGGGTTTGCAACTTCTCTGCCTCTCAGCGTAGCCTGTTATGCGAGGCCAATGAACTGGAACAGCTCTGCCTATGAGGACCACTTTTTCTGGCCCATTAAACACCCCAAAACAAGGGAAGGAAGGCTTGACTCACCCACACTTTGGGTGAACAGGACTCTAGAGGGAACAGGTCCTGAACAAGGCCTCATTATATGCAGAGCTTCGGTAGTTCTTGTTTCCTGACCTCACCTCACCCCACGCTGCCCTGCCAGTTTGCATCCTTTCCAAATTGGCTCAGACAATGACCAGCTTGTTTCGCCTTTCCTGTTCTGGTCAGGATCAAACAGTAATGAAGATTTGGGGGGAAGCGGTTAGGCGGGAGGGTCTAGTTTAGGGCCGGTGATGAATCTCAGGCATCCTAAGGACTGATTGTGGCCCCCAGACCTCACACTGGCTCTCCTCTGCAGTTTCCTCGAGTGCTTTGTATTGCAGGCTTCGTATTATATGTTTTAAAACACTGTTGTACGTTTCCCTTCATTTTCTTGTTTGCAATCGGCTTTGGGTTTGTTTTGGGGGTTTGTTTGTTTTTTACAATCAAGCTGTGTATAAATTTTATGAGAGAGATAGATAGATGACAGATAGAAAAATATCACATCCAGTTCTGCCTCTGCCCTTGACCACCAAGGTGCCCGGGGGGAATTGCAGCCTTTGGGCTGACAAATGTTCCCTGCCTCAGTTCATTCTCTTTGCTCTTTCCCTCCTTTCTCTCCAGTTAAGTGCTGGGCCTCCTCAGACTGGGAGCCTCCCTTCCTTGGGGTGAGCAGCAGCCTTGAGACAGCGAGGGTGTCCTGGCTGGATGAAACTACATTGCCCAGCATGCAGTGCTTTGGAGGAATCAAAACAACACTCCCTGCTCATGCGTGCGCACCGTTGCATGCTGGGTTATGTAGTTTCCAAAAGGCACATCAACCTCTGCAGAAGCAACCAGAAGCTGGTGGATAAGAACGGGAGCCTCGTTTCCATGGCTTTGCCACTGGAGGGGGCGAGTGGGGAGCAAGGCGTTGCCATGGCATCCCATTTTTCCGCCTCTAGCTCTCCACCCAGCTCCAGCTGATGCACATCTGCAAAGCTCTGACTCAGCTGAGCAGCTCAGGCAGAAGAAGCACAGAGGAGGAACTGGGCCAGCCTGAAAGCAGGCCGCCTTCCCAGGCCTGGCAGCCAGTCAGTCTCTCCTCTCTCTCAGCCACATGCAGCCACATGTGATCCTGGCTGGCTGGACCCACCGGACTAGCAGGAGCCATGCAAAGAGCAGCCAGCCAGAAGGGCCATCTGCATCTCTCTGACAAAAACTGGAAGACGTTTCATAGAATCCTAGAACTGTAGAGTTGAAAGGGAACCCCAGAGGTCCTCTATTCCAACCCCCTGCAATGCAGGAATCTCAGCTACAGCATCCATGGCAGACGGCCATCCAACCTCTGCTTAAAAACCTCCAGCGAAGGGGAGTCCACCACCTCCCAAGGGAATCCATTGCACGGTCAAACAGCTCTCACCTGCCCAAAAGTTATTCCTGAAATTTAGTCAGAACCTCCTTTCTGGCCACTGGAATCCAGTTGTGGGCAAGAGGTAAAGTGCAGCTGCACACGGCCTCTGGCTTTACAGTGCTGGATTTACGTATAAGCTACACAAGCTCTAGCTCAGGGCCCCACTCCCTTGGGGGCCCCAAAAAATCTAAAGGGAAAAAACCTGGATGCACATTTCCAAAATATAAGATAAAAAGCAAATAAAATAAAACCTACATACAGTTAGAGCTTAATATTTATTTCACTATTAATATACTTCTTCTTAATGGTATTTCACTATTAATATACTTCTTAATTGTATTTCAGTTCAACCATTACTTTGATAAAATACACATTTTGTTATGTGCAAATGGTTAGATACCTATTAGGTCCATAAATTATCATATAGCATATACAGTGGACCCTCGGGTTACATTACCTTCGGGTAACATAACTTTCAGGTTGTGAATGCGGCAAATCCGGAAGTGTATACTTCAGATTTCACCGTGCGCACATGCACAGAAGCACTCTATCATGCCACGCACGTTCGCAGAAGCAGCACCTCTTCTTACAAAATTTCGGGGTGCACATGAACCCCCAGAACAAATTAAATTTGTATCCGGAGTGTCCACTGTATTCAACACAAAAAACAGCGACAATTTGTTGTTGACAAAGGACAGCAGGACATAGAAAGGGCCCCATTACCTTCAGGAGCTGAGTGTCTCATCAAACCTAAATCCGGCCCTGGGGTCTACTCACCCCACACCTTGACTTTCCCATGCAGACATGGTCAGGCTTGCATGCCAGAAGACTGGTGAGGAAGTGGCACTCTGCACCTGCTCAGAAACACACTCTCAGTACTGACCTCACCTGCTCCAGGGCTAAACCATCCTGAGTCAATCCCAGCTCTGGCCTGAGTCACTTCCTCCTGCCGACTCCCTGTAACTGGCTCTGCTGAGTCACATGGAGGACTCAGACACATTTGGTCCTTTCCAGGGGCTGCCTCAAGATGCTGGAGGTGGAAGCTGGGAGCTTCTGCCTGCCAAGAGGAGGTCCTTCCACAGAGCTGAGGCCCTTCTTTGCCGGATTCCAGAAACTCAGAAATCTACCAGTCTGCTCCTGGCTTCAGGTAGACTGCCCCTGGACACAGAGGCTCCATAGCCACTGATAAATCCACCACACATGAAAGTCTGTTTGGTAACAAATGTGCATGTGCTTATTGCTCATCGCCCACACTTCTCTTCGGGTGACACAACGTCCTCCCATTGGTGGCCTAACAGGTTCCCCCAGCGCTCAGGCAGCAATATTCAGCGCCTGTGAAAACGGCAAACCTTCCTTCGGACGCACCGGCTACCAGGATTACTGGGTGGCACATCCCTGGCGTAGATCTCCTTTGCCATAGGAGGGAGGGCTTGTGCACTGATCAGTGGTAAGTGTCAGACTTGGACCTGCGAGAGACTGGGGTTCAAATCCCCACTCAGCTATGAAGCTCACTGGGTGACCTTGGCAAGTCACCACCTCTCAGCTCAACCACTTCGCAGCGGAATAGACTCCCTTGGGAAGTTGTGGACCCTCCTTCCCTGGAGGTCTCTAAGCAGAGGTCGGATGGCCACCTGTCAGGGATGCTTTAGATGTCCAACTTACAAGAGACTGTGATCTGCTCCCACTATAAAAAAACTGCCAATGATCTACCTACCCACTGGCTTGACAAAAGTTACTGAGCTTTTTTTAGGAACCCAAAGTTATTGAGCTTTCTTTGGGGAGGCGGAGAGGATCTTGCAATTGACCGTGATCTACCACGGACCCACCGCAATCAACCAGTAGATCACGACCCACCTGTTGGACATCCCTGCTTTAGTTGATATTCCTGCTCTGCAGGGGGGTGGACTAGAGGACCTTTAGGAAACCCTTCCAGCTATGCTTCTAGGGTTTTTGTGGGGATTAAATAAGGAGACAGAAATAAAGAAAGAGACAGAGATAGAACCATGTACATCACCGTGAGCTCCTTGGAGAGAAAAATGGGAGATAGACAGACAGACAGACAAACAAACAAACGTCTCCCACCTACCTGTCCTCCCTGAAACACTACGCTACTTTCTCCGCCATTCTGCTGACTTTTTAAAGATTTAAAAACCATTTAATTATTGGAAGGCTGTGTCCACAACACATGTAGCCTCCTTTTTTAATTGGAGGCGGGTTGGGAGGGAGAAGAGAAACATGGCCGCGCCCTCCCCCCTACATACAGATCCCTAAAGGGCCCTTGCCAGAAATATCCCTGGCAGAGGCTCAGCCAATCGCGATCCTGTAGGATGGTGCGCGCCTCCACCTGCGAGTCTCGTGACGCTTCCCTTTTGCGGCGCTTATTAGTCAACGCTCCGCGCACATGGGCAGCAGCTGAGCCAGGCGAGAGCCGCCTCCCCCCGGCCCCCCCCCGGCTCAGGACTCCAGGATCCCCCGCCACTCACCCGGCGTCGGCCTCCTGCCCGGAGACCCTCCGCGATTCGGTCCCCGAGCGCAGCCTGAGCAGGGCTCCCTCCAGCCTCCGAAGGCTGTCCTGGGCGGGCGCGGCGAGCGCAGCGCTGCGCCCTGGAATGCCAGCAATGCATGCTATGCCCGAAATATGACGGCAGCCTCGCCCGGCAGCGAGGAGGCGCATCGCGAGCATCAAAACAAGACACTCCCCGGCGGCTGCAGGCGGAGCGCAGCTTCGGAGCGCCCAGACAGCCGACGGCCCGGCTGCGCTTCACACGCCAGCCGGTTTGTTTGGCTGCATTTGGAGACGCGGCGGGGTCTCCTAAAATTAGGCACGCGGTGGAGAGAGAGAGAATTTCCCCCTCGCTCGTATCATATCCTGGAGCTCACGGTCGCCCCACGGAATGAAGCAAGAGGCCAGAAACGAGGGATTTGCGCGGCGCGTAAAACCGCGTCCACCTGCAGCCCTTCTGTCAGATGGCATCAGGATGGCAGCGAAGCCTTTCCTTCTCCTGGCCCAGTGCCTGATTTACGTATAAGTTAAACAAGCTATAGCTTAGGGCCCCACTCTCTTGGGGGCCCCCCAAAAATTTGTGTGGACAGTGTGGACTACTATGGTGATACTGATATTATATAAAAATGCATTGTATTAACTACAATTGAATTGTACAGGTTATAACACTTTATTTCATATTAATAAAGCTATTTACAATTATTAGTAGTTTGCATCATATATGCACACCAATTATTATTTCATGCTATAACAAGCTTCTAGAGACGAGATTATGAGTCTTTGTAAATTGTGTTTCTTTTTTTCAAACTTCTTTTTATTAGTTTCAATTAACTGTACAACACCAAACAAAGACAAAACAAAAAACACCGCAAAAAAGACAAAGGGAAAACAAGACATACAATAATTAAACAGCACAACAATAATTGAAATTGTGTTTCTAAAGGAACTTTTGTTTTTGCCAAATGCCAATGTGTTTGCATTATTAAGTTTTTTCATGAATAAAAAATCATTTTAAGTTAGAGTTTAATAATTATCTCACTATTGATATACTTCTTCTTAATTGTATTTCAGTTCAACAATTACTTTGATAAAATACATATTTTGTGATGTGTAAACGGCTTGAGATACCTATTAGGTCCATAAATTACCATATAGCATATATTCAACACAAAAAACAGCGACAATTTGTTGTTGACAAAGCACAGCTGGACATAGAAAGGGCCCCATTCCCTTCAGGAGCTGAGGGCCTCATCCAACCTCAATCCGGCCCTGACCTGGCCTCTGGGGTCTGGCTCCCTCCTGCACCGACCAGGGCTTTGCCTGAAAAGAGCCCACCCAGTCCAGCCTCCTGTTCTCACAGTGGCTGACTAGATGCCTCATTGGGAATCCAGCAAGCAGAATCTGAGCACAAGAGTTGGACTCGGGGACATTAGTCCAAAAACAGTGTTTCGAATGCATTATAAACATGCAAAGACAGATGGAGCTGGAGAGCAAAAAAATAATGCCATTTCCCATAGTGTTTTTTCCCCTTTTGGTATAATGATTTAATTTCTGACTTATTTATAGCATTCCCATCCCCCCTTTATGTAGATCCACCCTGGGATTCAGAAACCTGACTACCTCTAGCGGTGAAACCAGAGCACCGCCATCTTGACTAGTAGCCACTGATAGCTCCCTTCTCCATGAATTTGCCCAATCTTCATTTAAAGCTTTCTAGGCTGGTGTCCATCTCTACCTCCAGTGGGAGGGAGTTCCACAGGTGAACTCTTCACGAAGAAGGGCTGCTTTCTTTTATCTGGCCTTCAGCTAACCAAAAACCCTACCCCAAAACATGCTAAATTATCACATGCTGTCCCCCACCTCACCCCCCCCAGTGGCTGAGTGGTGCTCATTATTTGGCAACAAACTTGTCCAGAGATGATGGTTTCCCCCCACTCTGCCCCTGAGGTTTGGCTGGCCTTTATTTAGTATGGCATTATTACTATTATATTTTGATTTATACCCCACCTTTCCCCCCCCCCCCCTGACAGGACTCAAGGCAACTTACAGATAAAAATAAAAACCACTCGTTGTTGATTTAAAGCAGAGTCTGGTGCCCAGCGGAAGGATGAGGAGTACGTGCTGCATACTCTATATTGCTTTATTTACAGTTCAAAGCTGGTATATTACAGAAAGACATCTTGCCTCTGCCGGAGCAGAAAATGCATCCTCTCTCCTCGACAGCTCGGAGAGAATCACACAGTGAAAAACAGGAAACCAGTGTACGTCACATCCAGTCTCCCTTTCCCGTGAGAAACTCCAACAGTACAGACTGTGGAATGTAAACACCTGTCTCGTGACAAGCAAAGCTGCACAGTGAAGGAAAGCAGAAACCAACATCCTCCCCCCTTTTTGTGAACATCACTGGGCAGCGTGTTTGCACAATATCAGTACAAACCCAACTTCTGCACATAGGTACAGTGTTGATCCCTCGATACAATCTTGGACAATACATCAGCAGGAATTTCATTACCTGGCATATAGGACACCGTTACGAGTCCCTTCTGAATACATTCCCTAGCATGCTGCAACTTTAATTGCAAGTGCTTTGTGCTTTGCTTACAACCTTCAGACTTCAGCAAAGCCAAACATGCTTTGTTGTCCTGGTAAACCTGGATTGGACATTTGACAGGAATTTTCATATCTTTGCACAATTGTACTAACCATTCACAATCCTTAAGTGAATAAGACAGTGCATTCAGTTCGGCTTCACAAGTACTTAAGCTAACTGTTGTTTGCTTCTTGCATGACCAATCAAACAGACTCTGATTGTACATGTAGCAAACTCCAGACGTACCTTTCCTGTCTGTAGCGTCACTTCCAAAACTTGCATCTGCAAATATCTCAAGACCACCAGACTTCTGATTGTTAAATCTCAGTCTGTAATGCATAGTGCCTTTCAAATACCGCGCTATGCGTTTCAGAGCTTTCCAGTGCTTGACACTAGGATTGTTGACTTGTCTGCTTAGCAAATTACAGCTAACAGCAATGTCTGGTCGTGAACATCTGGCAATGAAGTTTAGCTTGCCTAGCACACTCCTGTACAGTGTAGTGTCAGAAAATGCTTCTTCAGTGTCATTTACCTGATAACCTGTTGTCATCGGTGTGTTTACAGGGTTAGCATCCATCAGATTTAGTTTGCTTAACACATCAGCAATTTTCCGTGACTGGTGTACTAGAATGTTACCATCTTGATCTCTCTCTATTTCCAGAGATAGGTAGTTGTTTACCTCACCAAGATCTTTCATGTCAAAGTGCTCTTTCAGTTGAGCTAGGGCGCTATTGTACATTGCGACATCTTTCCAAAAGAATAATAAATCATCAACATAAAACAAACAGTACAGTTTCTTTTGCCCCTCCTCTTTGACAAATACACATGGATCAGCTTTCCCTTGCTGAAAACCTAGAGAAAACAATACTTCAGTGAGTTTTGTGTGCCAACACCGTGCACTTTGTTTGAGACCATAAAGGGATTTCTTCAGAGCACAAACAAATCCCTGTTTTACCTGTACGCCATCAGGTGGAAGCATATAAAGTGATTCATCTAGAGATCCGTACAGAAAAGCTGTATTAATATCATGGTGACTAATGTGTAGATTTTCCTCTGCAGCTAGCTTAAGCATAAGCCTAATGCTTTCATATCTCACTGTGGGTGAATAGGTCTCGTGATAGTCTTCACCTGGTACCTGTGCAAAACCTCTGGCTACCAATCTGGCTTTGTGTCTGACTATCTTGCCATTTTGATCTGTCTTCGCTTTGAAGACCCATTTGCTTCCAAGCAGTTTCATTCCTGGAACTACTGGAACTAGCTCCCATGTTTTGTTCCTTTCTAAGGAATCAAGCTCAGCCTTCATGGCATTTAACCATGGCTCAGCTTCCTTTGAATCCAAACCCTGGATTTCTTGGAAACTTGAAGGTTCAAATACCTTCTTGGAGCTTTTAACAGCTGTTACTGCTATCTTAGCAAACTCATCAGCAAATCTCTTTGGAGGTTTGCCTTTTGTGGCTCTCTGTGACCTACGAATTAGCCTTAAGTCTTCAACACTCTCCTCTTCCTTCTTAGGAGAAAAACGACCTATTGTGAACAATGGTTCCTCCAATTCTTGATCAGAGCTTTCAGAGGGTCGCATAGAGGCTTTCGCACTTTGAAATCCTCTGAATCACCCGATTCAGTTTCAGATTCAGACTCAGAACCTTCATCAGTGGGTGTGGGCTGTTGTGGTTGCTTTTGACTATCCTCAGTCTCATCACCGTCATCAGGATAACATTGGAAAATTCCCACATTCTCCCCCACTTTGCATTGTACTCAACACTTCTCGTGAGCTTAATTGTCTTAGAGTCAGTCATCATTATTCTGTAAGACCCTTTCTGATAACCTAGAAAGATACCATGCAATCCACGCTTGTCTAACTTGGAGTTTTGTGGTGAGCGAACCCACATGTCAGAACCAAAATCTTCATGTGTTTGATGTATGGCTTCTTGCCAAACATCTTCTCATAGGGGTACAACCAATCGCTGAAGATAACCTGCGATTGTAACTGTAAACAAAACACGAGAGAGATTCGGCCCAATAACTCTCTGGAAGATTGGCATCATGCAGCAAGGTCTTTAACCCTTGAAGCAATGTCTGATTTGCCCGCTCCGCAAGTCCATTCTGCCATGGCGAGCGAGGACTAGACAAATCGTGTTGAATTCCTTTCTCAGTCAGAAAAGCTTCAAACTGCTGAGAAGTGAATTTCCCCGCGATCACTGAAAAGAGTCTTTATCTTCTTACCATGCACATTTTCCAACCAAGCACAGAATTCCTTGAACCTAGGAAAAGCCTCCGATTTCTGCTTGAGATTGTACACAAAAATATATCTAGAAAATGCATCAATGAGAACCATGAAGTATCTATTTCCACCCAAAGAGGGCGCTAGTGGTCCAACCAAATCAGCATGAACAACCTGGTATGGTTCTGTAGCTTTCCTACTAGACACCTTACCTTTCGCAGCCATTTTCACCTTGTTTGCTGCGCATGCTTTGCACTTCATGTGGTACTTGCAGGGTTTAATAGTCATACCTTCAACCAAGGCAGGCATTTTAGATACTGCCTCAAAATGCAAATGACCAAATTTTCGATGAAAATCGTG